TGGGCCTCGTTTTCACTTTTAATCAAAATGTCGTCTAAGTATGCAATCGCATAATCCATACCAGCCAACACTGTGTCCATTATTTGCTGGAATAGGCTTGGAGATACCTTCAATCCAATAGGGAGCAGATTTAATTTAAAAATCCTTTTATGAGTATTTATTGTCAGGTACTTTGGACATTCTTCATTGATTTTAACCTGAAGGTAAGCCTGCGACAAGTTCAACTTATAAAACACTACCTCCGTTCAATTTAGTAAATATATCCTCCGGAAACGGTAGAGGGTACGCATAATCTTTTAAACAATCGTTCAGGCCTGTCGAGAAAACAGCACACACTCTGATTTTTGTTTTTCTTTTATATAAACGGTTGGAGACGCCCAATCCGAATAATCCACTTTTGAAATTACGCCAATTTTTCCAACCTTTCTAAATCCTCATTTATTGAGTCTTGTGCCAAAAATGGAACTTTTCGGTTTAAAAATTGGTTTCACATTTTCTTTCAACTCAGTGTTGACCGTTTTGTGCACAGACCTAGTCCTTCTGAAAAAAAAAATGAGGGAATTCATTTTTCAACTCTAATGATTTTTTCTGTTTGCTTTGTCTTATAATTTTCTTCTTGGTTACAGAAATAATTCACTGGTAATTCCCACAAATTGAATAATACTATCCAGTCTGTACCAAAGACGCTTACTGAACCAGGGAGCACATACTTTCGATCTGTGAAATTTTCCCCATGTACGAAATGTTATATTTTAATTCACCTCGAAATTTGAGTCTTTTTTCACGCACTCCTCTGGCAATTTTGTCTGTTTTGGTCAAAGGTGGATAACCAATTTTTTCCCATGTTAGGGCGTTTATCACTGAGATATCACTTCCTGAATCGCGTAATAATTTTACGGTCTCCCAATTTATTTTTACATTGAGGTATTTTCTTCTTTGACCCTCCTTAATTTTGTGTTTAGACAAAACTACGTTCGCTTTTGGTTGAGACTTTGTTTTTTCATTTCTCTGTTTTGTCCGACAATGTGAACATTTATGGCCTACACGCCCACAATTATAACATTTTTTATCCTTAAAGTAGCAATCCTTCTTGAAATGATGTTCTCCACAAGTACTACATATTATTTTTCGTTCTTTTTGTGTCCACTTCTTTTGTCATACAGTTTGTCCTCGCGAAATGTTCTTCTCCACAATCCGAGTAGTGTTTTTTTACGTTTATCATTCGATGACATTCTTCAGTTACTTTTTGTAACGTAATCTCTGGATTTCTTTCCGTGATCGAGAGGATTCTTGCTCTAATTTCTTTGTCGCTTGCTGTCGTTAGACCTTGCATAAAAATTAGACACTTGAACATGTCGCTTGATAACTCTTTCAACTTAAACGCCTCACACTGTGCGTTAACCATACCTGTGTATGTAACAAAATCATCATCATCTTCTTTAACGATATCCAGATACTTGTATCGTGTATGAAAAAGTCTGTCTTATCGAAAATTTTCGACAAGATTTCCACTGTTTCGCCGAATGTCATTTCTTCTGGCTTTTTTGGGAGGATGAAAATCGTGTATTTCGTATTTTCTTCTGTTCCCAATTTATGCATCAGTAAAGTAATTTTTTTCTTGTCGGAGCATTGTTCGCACCTTTTCGGAAATATTGTTTCAAACCTACGAAAATAAGCCGGAAACGTTGAACCACTGTCAGGGTAGTCTTTAAATTCTGAGAGTGAATTTGAAATACCTTCAGCCGAAAACAATCTAGACCTCAGTTCATTTGTTGTCCTACGTGTTCGAATAACTTTTCAAACCTTTCTTGTTGCTGTAATTGTTGTTGTTGGAACTGTTGTTGTTGCTGTAAAGTGTCTTGTAGCACCTTAGCTAATTCCGCCATTTGTTCCATTTTGACAACGTATTCACCAGAAAACAATTTCGCACCAATAAACAATACAATTCTTATTCCAAACAAGAGGGGGGAAGGTTTCCCAAGTTTTTCTAACGTTCCTCGTCAATAAGCGTTAAAACAAACATGAATAAAAAAAATACTTTTTGTAAGCATCGAACAAGTTTTTTCTAACGTCCGTCGTTAGTACACGTTGTCGACTGTATTTTTTTTGTTGTTGTTTTAACTTGTGAGGTCGTTACGAATCTCGTCGCCAACTGATATGTCCCGGAAATGGGATATATTTGAACGAAGTAGCTAAGTGGTTTTGGCTGCTATAACCAAGTAGAATATGGAAGCAGTAATCGACTGGTACGCGTGGTAGTCCCAGGTAAGAAATGTAGATCAATGGCGTAGTCCAATGGGGGTCGTTATAGACTTAGCTCTAAGACCAATGGTCTCTTATGGCTCTCCCACACGTCCGTCGATATTGACGACAGGCACCAGCCAATAACACTACAGTGCGAGGGAACACAGGTGTATGCATATTCCATTGTACCAAAAAGAAAAGGAAGTATTCTTCTTTTGAAATTAATCGTTCACTCATCAGTAATTTACCATCGCCGGAAGAGACACATTTGTAGTGTCGAAACACGATTGCTATTGTGTAGGGATTTTTAACATGTTTTTTTTTTTGTTTTAATCGCCTATAAAAAATACTACTTGCTCTACTCTGTATTGAGCCCCCTTTTAAATTAAATGTTACACACAATGGGATTATACTCCATTTGTTCTTACCTTACCTATATATATTAATATCTGCTGAATGCATATCCAAATGTAAACAAATATATGAGAGAAAATCATGGAGAATTGTGTTTAAATGCAGTAAAAATCGACCTTGCTAACAGAACGCTCTTCTGTAGTCCAGTCGATTAAGGCACATCAGGCTATATGACGTTTCCGTATAGGATAGAGGTTCGATTCCTGTCCAAGGACAAATATTTTCTATGAAAATTTCTCGGACATTCAGGCGGTAAATGTTGTTAATACTGTTTAGTATAAACAGAGCATTTACTTAAATATTTGTATCGATAACAAGAACGTATAAACATAAAAATAAATTCTTAAAAAATAAGTGTCGGTCTTTGTCCATTTATATATATATATATATATATATATATATATATATATATATATATATATATATATATATGGTTGGATAGATGTTAGCTCTATCTCTGATATTGAGCGCTTTCTAATAAGTACCGCGCATATAATATATAAATAATTTTATATTTCTATACACTTTTCACACACACTCACACACACAGACATATATATATATATATATATATATATATATATATATATATATATATATATATATAAATTACCATCATAATAAAATCACTACCAAAATTCAAAAGGGAAATTATATAAAAGCAGCCCTAAAAATAGTAGAAACTGAAAATTTTGCCTGCTGGAAAAAATTACAATCATCACCTTTAATAACCAAAGCAACTTACTAAACAAGAATAGTGAAATAATGGTGAAATGCAGTATTTACTTTGCTATCTTAATACTAAAGTAAATGAAAAAAGACATACAACACAAAACACAACCGAATCACAGACACAAACCACCATTTCTAATGTCTGACCCATACCAATTCCAAAGATAACACAATCAAAAAAAGTATACTCTTCAACAAATCCAGAGTCATCTATGAGTCATCTATAAAACAGAAACAAATAAAAATACAAATGGAAAAAGGCTTCACAAATTCTACAAGAACAGCAATAACGAACTAGAAAAAAAAACATAAACGAAAAATCCGCCATATTAAAGCTCGACAACAGAACCAAACAAATACCGAATGTAGAACAATTCATTAAACTAAATGACTATAAATACAACTTCTTAAATAAATCAACATGCTGACTAATAAACACCACAAAATCATCGCAAAAATAAGTAAGCAAATTGTAAAAAAAAAAATTGCACAAAGTTGAGACGCATAATAAATATAAACGAATGGAAAAATACAAAAGAATAAATTAAATGGTTAAACATCACCAACAAACAAGTACTTTTTGATAAAGTCAGGTACAAAAGACTTTTACTCATCCTTCACATACTAAACAATGCACTAAACCTGGCGAAAGAAAACACCGAAAACACACCAAGAAATACAACACAAAACGTAATCCCATCACAAACACAAGTCACCAGACCTAGCATCGAAACCATATGAATTCCAAACACTAACCCATCCAGAAAAGTGTAACAAAATATCAACAAAAAAATAATAATCAATAATCGATAATAATCAATTACAAAACCCAGAAAATCACATAAGCTAAATAAGAAAAAGTGAAATAAGAAACGAGAAATCCATACGCAATAAACATAAAGCACACAGTAAGCAAAGTTAAAGAATACTACCTACTAAACATACATATAAATTTAACATCTATATATAAGCAAATACGAGCACTAACGTAAAAAAAATGCACCTACATGAACAAACACAAATACACAGATGCACACAAGCTAACACGTGTGGGGATCTGTGTATATATACATATTTGTATGTATATGTAGATGCATACATGCGTATACATCGGAACACGCATAAAAACACGTTTGCACAAAAATACATACACTCACAAAAATTCAACCGTGACCTAAATTCTATGGTCAAAACAAAATATCACTAAAAAAATTGTACGAAAGTTTAACAGTGAATCAGAGATCAGCGCAAGATCAAGGGAAGGATGAAAGATAAAAGAAAAGGGAAGGAGAATATAAGAAAGGGAAGGGGAATAAAAGAAAGGGAAGTATAATAAAAGAAAGAGAAAGGAAATAAAAGAAAGCTAGGGAATAAAAGAAAGGAAATGATAGTAAAAGAAAGGGAATGAGATTAAAAGGAAGATAAGGAGAATAAAAGAAATAGAAGAGGAATAAAAAAAGGGAAGGGGAATAAAAGAAAGGTAAGGAGAGTAAAAGAAACAGAAGTGGAATAAAAGAAAGGGATGGATAATAAAAGAAAGGGAAGGGGAATAAAAGAAAGGGATGCATAATAAAAGAAAGGGAAGGGGAATAAAAGAAAGGGATGGATAATTAAAGAAAGGGAAGGGGAATAAAAGAAAGGGAAAGAGAATAAAAGAAAGGGAAGGATAATAAAAGAAAGGGAATGAGAATAAAAGAAAGGTAAGAAGAATAATAGAAACAGAAGTGGAATAAAAGAAAGGGAAGGGGAATAAAAGAAAGGTAGGGGAATAAAAGAAAGGGAAGTGGAATAAAAGAAAGGGATGGATAATAAAAGAAAGGGAAAGAGAATAAAAGAAAGGGAAGGGGAATAAAAGAAAGGGAATGGGAATCGAAGAAAGGGAAGGATAATAAAAGAAAGGGAAGGGGAATAAAAGAAAGGGAATGGGAATCGAAGAAAGGTAAGGAGATTAAAAGAAAGGGAAGGGGAATAAAAGAAAGGGAAGGGGAATAAACAAAGTGAATGAGATTAAAAGAAAGGGAAGGATAATACAAGAAAGGGAAGGGGAATAAAAGAAAGATAAGGGAAATAAAAGAAAGGTAGAGGAATAAAAGAAATAGAAGGGGGATAAAAGAAGTCAT